ATCTTAAAATGTTGTGAGATACTGAAATGTTCAAAGTTAATGACTCAATTAGCCATTTGCAGAAGCAGCAAGTGCTTTGCTGAGGTTAGGTTTGCACCCTCACACAGAAGAGGAAGAGGAGAGTTTTTGGATGTGTGGTGGCAAAACCTCTGATGTGCATAAGAACAGCCCAGGTGCAGAGGGAGTACACACCCACCACCAGAAGATGACAACAATCCCAGCTTTGTTTAGCAACAAGCTGGGTTTTGAGCCAGATAAGGGAAAAGGCCAATGAGAAGCAGATCCTGTGAGGTGGGATAATGTTTTTTATCACGCCAATGTCCTCCCTTACAATAAGACTCAGGTGTAAATCTTCCCCCCCCCCTTCCCCAGGGGAGATATTGGGACATTCACATGTAGGCCTTAATCTGTAGCTATTAATCCCTCCTGATAAGGTACAACTGGCTTAGGTACACAAGCCTAAGAAATCATGGTCGTCTTAGAAGGGTCACAAACCATCAAAGACCCCCTCAAGCGTCCCTGGACTCATTTCTGGGGCCTTCCACCAGAGGACTGCACATGACTCAGTGTTTGATCAGACAGTGTAAAAATCCCCCACCAGGAGAGGTACCTGGGCATTCCCACTTGAACCTGAATGTATTGAACCTTTGAACCCATTGAACTTTTTCTTTCACAGGCTCCCCCAGCCCCTGACAGATCAAGACTGTGACTATCACTTCAACCAATGGACATCTAAACTGCAACAATCAATTCTAGCTGGTGGATTCACAGGTGGTGATATCTTTCCTCTCCACCATCTACTCTTATCCTTTCTTTCTCTTTATTTCCTCATATTTTTTCTCAAGTGATATATTTATACTTTTATATTGTTTATGACTATAGATAGTAACAGAAATGGCTACGTATCTCCTTTCCATTGCAACCAAATTGTTCCAAAATAAACCTGCTGTATGTATACATATACACTGGTCATCCTGTGTTGTTTTGTTCTAATGTGCACCAAGGGATCTATTAACAAGAACCTTAGTTACCCTGCCTCAGGAACAAGTCATAACAAATGTTTAAGTAAAACAGGAAGATTTAGAGCATCTCAAAACAAATTTCTTCCTGCTCATAAATGAGTCTTTTCTTTCAGGCTTGGTCTCAGCCCAACAACATGACAGTCTTCTGAGATGCAGCAAACGATGCACAGTGCCCCCCAGGTCCCCAGGAATTATTACTTCCATCACCTCTCAGGCGTGGCTGTATATTTTGTTCTCTCCTTCTCTCTGCAATGTCCTACTTTCACCTAAAGCTGAGCTCTCCCTCTCCAAGCACTCCATCCCTCATACTGAAAGCTTCTCTGCCTAAGCACATTCAGTTCCTCCTTGGGGAGAAGACATCTTCCTGTCTTTTTCCAAAGGTCCCTGTCGGTCTCAAACAAATAAAGCAAATGTGACCCGTTGCATGGGGATTACAAGACAAAAGGATTTGGGAAATGGGAAATTACATGTACCCTGAGGGTAAGATCAAAAGAAGGGATGCCAAGAGACCAACTCTCAGGAACTCTGAAAAAATTACCAAAAACCTGGCTATAAAATCTAAAAACATATTATTCTAACTTGGCTTATGCTGGTAAATTTTGTTATGCATGTATTAGGGGGATGTCTTAAAGGTTGAGTTTATTCTATTTCTACCACGAAATGGAGTTTACAATAAACTAAGAGAAATAGCACTACTTGTCTAGGCAGGGCATAAGTGGGGAGAATTTCTGGAATCATCTCATAGTACAGTTTGTTCCAAGGAACTGTAAGGAAATCATAAGCAGCACTCTATCACTGGTTTTGGTTGCAGGTCTATGCTAGATTCAGTATTAGATATACAATTGCCTGATTGGAAGTTATCACAATACTGACTATTGAAAATTACTATATAAAACTGACAAAATTGGTTATGCCTTGCACATTGCTGTAAACAGACTGTTTCAGAATTCTCAGCTCCTGAGATAAAATCTAAATTGTAATTTTCAACATTATCTATTGTTCTTATTCCACAGATTTCAGGAATCTTCTGTAGGCCCAACCTTATACTCTTGGTTTAGTTCCTTTCTGAATTTGAGGCACCAGGAGGTACACAGGGTCAGGCCAGGAAGAACTACCACTTTATAGTTCAATGGGTTCCTGGCTTATAAAACAAGCATAAGGTAAGGTCCACACTACAGACCTTGGGCCAGCTGGGCCTTCTATCTGAGGAAACAACAAATGCATTTTCCTGAGACTACAACTAAACTTCCCATGAAACCAATTTGCCCATTCTTTATATCAACCTACTTTCCTTACCCATTGAGAAATGTTGTTTGAGCTGTAGTGGGGTACACAGCCAAGCACATCAGAGATGTTGACTGATTGTCCTCATAGTCATCCTGTGTCCAGTAGAATCATTGATGCTTCTAGCAGTAGTTTTCAGGCAGCCTTTTACAAACAGTAGTATGTGCTGCTTTTTAAATTCCACCTAAGGATCACATTCTTAAGGTACTCAAAAGGAGACTGGCATAAACTACTTGTTTTCCCTTGTAAAGGACCCTGTCTATTTGTCTGCCATGACAATGGCTCTGCTGTCAGGGGATGCATCTCAAATAAAGTCTCCATCAGCAGCTGTAGGCTGGTACCTCCTTCAGAAGCACTGAAGACTTGTTTCATTACTTTGTGACAGTGCACTAGGCCACAACATTATGCTAAAGGCAAGAATGCTTTCAAAATACATTTCTGTAAAATATCTGCTCCAATAAAATATAAAACATTCACAGTAAAACTTGTCCTGAGGCCATTTCTGTGGCATCAGTGACTCCTCCTATTCATGCACTGCTTGTGCGTTGCAGTTTCTGTTGACAGAGCTACAGGACACTGTCCAGCATCAGCTGTATTTTCACCCTTACTGACCTTAGTTTTCCAGGTAAAAACCAGAACCAATATACTGACTTATACTAGGTTTGCATGGCAAGGTTTTTGTAGTGGGGGGCTACAGGTGTGGCTTCTGTGAGAAGCTGAGAGAAGCTTTCCCCATGTCCAATGGGGCTAACACCAGCTGGCTCCATGACAGACACGCTGCTGGCCAAGGCTGAGACCATCAGCAATGGTGGTAGAGCCTCTGGAATAGCAGATTTAAGAAGGGGGAAACAGTGTTGTGCAACACAGCTGAAAGAGAGGACAGAGCATATGTGAAAGAAATAACTCTGCTATTGCAATTTGATCAAACCCTGGCTGTTTACTTTGGGGTGAGATGAAGGATGCCACAGATCCTGTTGGCTAAAAAGGCAGGTTCATTTATATGGAGGCATGTGTTCTGTCCAAACTCACATTCAGTCAGATGAATCTTGTTCACACTCTGTAAGAGGCTATAGGCACAACAGCTTGCCCTAATTAAGGACACCTCTGGAAACACTCTGTCATTCATGGCCAATGTAAAGACCCACTGCTATTGTAGCACTATAATACTGCTGCCAGATTTTTTGGTCCTTAATGGTAAACAAATCTTTAACCTAAATAAGTGTTTTAAACACGTACTTTTGAAGAAAACTACTGATTCTTGTAATAAAACTAACATGTTAGTTTTTAAACAAATATTATAGTAGAAGAGAGAAAGAAAACAAAAGAAAAAATCTAAGATCATATTACTGTTCCTAGAGGCAAGTTAAAAAGAAAATTGGGCAACACAAATCCACATCACACATCTGTATTTCACAAAAACAAAACAGATCAATTACATAAAACAGATCTTTACAAAAGTTTGGCAGTCTTTCGTAAATGAATAGAGATGCTATGCATTGCTTGGAAAAATAATTTATTTTGTTAGCTTACAAAAATTACAAGTTTTCATGTTATTATTTAAATTAGAAGTACAGCTAGCAACTTTGATCCTGCAAAGGTACTAAGTATCTCCTGAGATGCATTAAAGACTTGTGACCCTGCCTTCAGGAATAGTTTGGAGTAAGTCCCAAGCCAGCAAAATAGTAATGTAGTTTAATATTTTTGTTACTGCCTCATTGGCTAACATTTTACAGTCTAACTGCAGAAAGTAGGTACAAATGTTGACATTAAATTAACATGAATTTTCCTGGTAGAGCCTTAACTAAACTTCAACATACCTGCAGATTCTGTGCCAACCTCTCTGTTTGCAGCAACATACTCACAGCACAAAAGACAGCTTTCATATACTTTATATAGTAACCACTTGACAAGGTCTCAGCACTTAGTAGTCTGATTGGTACTTAGGCTTTATACACGAGATTTGATTCTGGCTTCATATTGGTATAAATCAAGCAGGCACAGGCATTCTGAAGTCAATGTAGTAACTCAACAATAAAATTGGTGTTCTGATACTACATGAGTCACACTTTGTGTGTAACCACAGACTTCACAGGTTGGTAAGGACTTGTGTGTCACAACAACATGGCAGCACGCTCCTCCTTTCACACTTCTACAATGCATTGTTCCTAAACCTGCAAGAGGTGTTCTGAAAATACAAATTGCAGACTTAGTTTTACATGCATCCATGTGATTTACAGGAAGTAATAATCAAGCAGTAGTTTGAGCAGTTGGACTTGATCTCAAGGGTCTTTTCCAACCTAAATAATTCTATGATTCTACATTTTTTTGATTCACTACATTGTTCTCAAGGCAGCCAAGTTTTCCCAAGTTTGGGAAAAAATGGACTGCAAACACCTTGTGAATCTATCTTGGAACAAAAATATCTTAGGACAAAAAAGTCAAAAGTGGTTTTATTTTGTGAGTCTTTTGTTACAAAAAAGTCTATCAATAGCATTGGCATTTAGATGTAAGATATAATTAGTTTCTCCCTACTCACATAAAAATTCCCATTTTGGGTACTCAATGAATTACTAGATCAGTTGAAAAACTGATATGAAACAAAACATTTATTCGTGAGTATGAAATACAATTGGTACACCTTAACTTTCCTTGGAGACAGTTTCATTATTTTGAAAAAGTTGTAGTAGCCCACACTAGAGTGGAACAAATAGCTGTAATATTTCAGAATTTTACAAATTTCATAAGCTTGTATTGATGTAATTTAGAAGTACTTATAAAAGAATGTAAATGAACTCAAAATCCCATTTCTCAGACTTTGGAAAAAATCTAAAATAAAAAAATGAGATACTGCCAAATTATTTCAAATGTTTACAGTTTGCTATCAAATTATTTTTATAAGACAATGGATTTTTCAGCAAGTATTTGCTGCTCATGAGACCAATACATATTGTAGACTTGCAGACCTTCAAAATGCAATGAAAAGTAGTCTGAGAAAATATTTCTCTCCCCTTTTCTAAAATTCAGCATGAAATTGTAACTCCACTGATATTTGACAGAGCTTTTGCTAGCTTTACTGCAGTCAGGATTTCCAAGCATAAAAGGATTAATTTTCTTTTTGACCAGTAAAATTTTACAGTGTATGAACATGTTTATACATGTCTATATCTATAAGAAAGAGACATAATTATGCAAACAGGACTGTACATGATGCCTACATAGCTATTAAAAGTCTGAACACACCTTTACATTTCAGAAATCAAGTTTGAAGGAAAATGCAATAGTCTTGGTTACTACAGCAATGTCAGCTTCAACATGGATGAGGAGCTGCACTCCTTGCTTAACTTTCAAGGACTTTATGTCAAGAAAAAATTCAATTTTGAGGAATTTTATTCCACTATGCCTATATCTATTACATTAACCAATACAATAAGGTTTAGAAGTATTAAACCAATCTTTCTGACTTCACACCAGCACACAGACATTTTGCATCCATACAATTTGTTGAAATTCTGCAGATTCCTTATGGTCACTTTACACTGTACTGCAGTAGCAATACTTGACTGGGAAATATAATGCAATATGTTCAGTGTCTCATGTATGAGACACTCAGGTAATCTCAGTTCTAGAATTTCCCAACCTAAATGCTAGTTCACAAGACTAATTTTGCTCCAGTTTTAGAATACTAAATGCAAAACCCACTGTATTTTATTCAAATAAAGTGAAAACAAAAGATCTGGAGGAAAATGACTCATGTATCAACTAACTTAATCAGGAGTGACTGTAATGAAGTATCAGAATCAGTTGGTTTTCTAGCTAACCCCAAATTAAATAGAAACTGGCAGCATAAAATGGTAAAACATGTTCCAGAACTCAAAAGTGAATAACGTTTCCTTCATGCACTCTCCGAGGTAAAAAAAAAAAAAAAAGAACATCAGCATTTGCTAATAAGCACAAATAGAAATTTCAGCCTTCAAAACCACAGTAATACACTCAGTTGATACTCCTACCTACAGTCTAAATATTTTTCTATTTGTCACTTTCTTCTGGTAATGTAATACCACAGCTGAAATTCGAACATTTGGTCTATATGTTAAAATACACTGTACCAGCCAGCAATCCTTCTGTAGCACATCAGTTGTCTCCAGTGGAATTATTTCAACTCTGCTATTCAGTGCACAGCACACTTAACAGAATTTCCCTAAGTATGGAACATAGTTAAGTCTAAATCAAAGCGAGCAAGTCTCACACATTAAGAGATGACATGAAGTGTGATTGATGTCTGTTGATTAAAATATTCAGGAGCTTCATTTCAGTCTATAAAAGGCTGCCACTGTAGTGAAGTTTAAGAAATTACTCCCGTTCTGGAAAAAACAGAAAGGGAGTAATGTTCCTTGACTTTGATACTTCATTTTTCCATTTTCACTGAGATTTTTTTGTCTATTAAATAAGAATAATTTGTCTCACTTTTTAAAAACTTTGTGGATTAGTTTTTTGTTAATTTATAGATCTCTAATCAATCAATGAACAACGTTCTAATGGATTCACCTTCGATGGCTAGTGAGCCTCCCTGCTGATGTAGCCCACACTGATGAAGGTTTCTGCATTTTATAGCTTTGTGACTGTGCTGGAGACTGGTCCAGTGAAGACAAAACAAACAACTCCAAGGTTTCTGATGGACTTGTTGACATTCTGTTAGTCAAAACATGCAACAAAAGTTCTGCCAGCTACATGATGTCTTCATGGTTGCAGCTGTTTGAATGAAACTGCTGTTAGTGCTGTACCTGGCAGTGAAAGCCTCAGTAAAAATGGTGCACTCATTGAGCTCCATACAGAAAATAGCTCATGCCACTGATGCAAACTGTTCTCTAGGTTCTCTTGGCCAGCAGTAAAACACAGCTCATCTTCATCATTTTCCGCACTAAGTACAAAACTGTGTCACTGGTGGTTGTTGTGAAGAGCCTAATGCCAGAACATAGATCAGGCTGCCCTCCCAGTTCCATGCTTGTTTAACAATGTGAGTGACACAGAGATCCATGTTTGCAGAATGATACTTTGTGATCATTTTTAGCAAATTTCAGTATCACTTTTCAGAAATAGTTTAGATGTCAGCAACCGTTTACAATAAAGGCAATTTGATATTTACACACTGAAGAAATATACTTCGTAATACAAGCACTTGGGCAGACATCCTAAATTAGTCTCACTTTTTGCCCGGAATCAATAATATTTCAGGGTTATTGCAGCAAAGTCTATCCTTCACCATTTCCTTCTACAAAATCATAGTAGAATCAAATGGTACCATTCAGAAAATCTAGACAAATGTAGTAGCACACATTTACTTTGGCCTGTGGGATAATCTTTAACATTAGACAGCATGTGACCTGATGTTAGTCCATCTACTAAGTAGCTTTTATTTTAGTAAAGAAGTAAGAGTGGGAGAATTCATATGAAAAGAGATTATATTATAAGAAACAACTGCCTTCAAAACTGATGTAATTCCATAGGAATATCAACTACCAAAATTATCGACAATAATTCTGTAAGTCAATGTGGAATGTCTTCTGTCACAGTAGTGCACTGTAGGTGGCAGATGAGAAAATCAGTCTAAGATCAAAACAGCTCTGGTCTGAAGACAGATGAAAATAACAGACAACTCTAGAACAACTGTTGTACTTTTTCAAACAAAACACCTATTAAGGAGCCATGTCCCTAAAAAAAGATAGCAAAACTAACCTAAAAGAGATATCTTTATGCAGTTCTTGTATTTAAATGTAATACTTTAACAAAAATGTTAACAACCCTGTTCCAAAAATATTTAGATCCAAACAGCAGCTATTAGATTCCTAAATAAAATTACTAGAAATTTAAAAATATCATCACTGCGTATTTTCACATTATAGATTTTGGCATTATTAAGGCAAGAGAAAACAAAATCTCATTATTTCAGATTGAGAAATGACAGATGTGCAATTTCAGCTTTAGAAACGAGAGCTTTTGCTGTTAGCATAAATGATAAATGTTGGATGTTGCTGGATTTTAACCACAGCATTCTCTTTCGAGTTTGCTGTCAACATTCCCAGAGGCATTAGTTTAGAGATTTTTGAAAGACTTAGCTTATCGGATTCAGCTCTGCTGTACTCTTGTATACAGCACTAAAATTTTCTTCAGATTTAAATTCCAATTTAGGTCTTTACATAGAAAAGCAAATAAGTTCATACTCCCAACAGCCTAGACATACTTACAGTAAAGAGTTGAGTTGTGCTAGAGTAGAAAGTATTTTAGCATGTAAAAAATATCCAAGATGGAATCTTATTCAGGGATCACTTTCATTCAGGTGTAAATACTAGCTCTAAAGCAGTTTTTAAATTAAGGCACATTAAGAATAAAAGTGTTCTGAAATTTTAATTTAATCACAAACTGCTTTCCACTCCTTCTGCTACTACTTTTCCTCTACATCTGCTTCTAAATTCTACAATTAGATCAAAACCATAGGAATTTGTGTGATGTCCTTCTGCACATCCATTTTTGACAAGGCTGTACCCCTAGATATTGGCCTGCAGCTCACATTAACTTCAGTATCAATTGCTTCTGTGGGGTGAAGACAGGGCTTAGAGTGAGATGAATATGGTACTAACATCCTACAAACATGATGGCTTTAACGTAGTCATAGCAAAATTTGACTGTAACAAGCAGTCCCACATAAACCAATGAATAAATTTTTCTGAGTGTTGTTGATATGATAATGTATTCAGGTTGCATACTACTCATTTTTAGCAACAAAAATTATACCAGGGTAATACTGGCATTTTCATTCAAGAAAAAACATTCAGTGCTACGCAGTGCAGAGACTATGCCTTGTAAGCCAGAGATCAACTGATATGCAGATCTCTTAACTCAAAAATTGATTTTAGAACAGCAGTTTCTTTGTTGTATGGGATTTTCATGTATCTTCTTTATTTACTTTGTTGGAGAAGCTAATAAAAACATGGCTGAGCTTTGAATATCCAAGGAGTACATTCACCATCACTGAAGACTGGCTTCCATCAAAAATTTGAGAAGTAAATGTAAGAAAACACTGTAAAAATTTATTTTTTATCCTGGACTAATTTTTATTTTTATTTTGACATTTCTTCTTAGGATGACATAATTACATAATAAAAAATAAATTATTTTGGCTATCAACTAAATATAATCTCAAAAGTAATGAAGTACTCTCAAGTCTGCTGTAAAACATTAAGGAACTGAATGGCATAAAATTTATAGCTTATTCAAGTGTCAATTATTTGATGCTGAAATAGAGGGCCAGTGCATTTCTAAAAGCACAATAATGAAAAACTGTATTTCAGGACAGCATTAAAAAAAAAAGAATGCCTGATATTAGCTTGTCAGATTTGTATGTACTTAGTACATACATAAAAAGGTTCCTGATTTACCAAATGCTGAACAGAACCGAGAAACAAACCACCATTTTTTTTGTATGATACCACATTTGTTGATTATTGAAAACCACTACTTTGGGCAAGAATAGAGGAACAGGTAATTAAAGTGTAGAAAATATCTGAGTACCAGAAGGGACAGCAATTTTATGATCTGAAATATACAAAACGTTTTATTTAAAAATTATCTGTTTTTTTACTTTAAAAACTGAAACTGGTCAGTAGAGTACTATTTCAGGTCAATATGGAAAAAATATTATTTCTTAAACCACAAAGGGACAGTTTCACATAATGTCATGAATAGAACTTTAGCCTTCAGTAAAGAGGAAACAAAATTCACTTTGTAATATGAACCTCTATCAAAGGTGGAAGATAGACATATTACATGCTATCTAGACTGCATTGCCAAGAGGGTAAATTTAAGAAAGAATTTCCTGGCTTTGGAGTCCATAAGTCTAGTCAGTAAAAATTCCTTTTTTTTTCTTTTTTTTTAGTGTGGTTTGACTTCTGTTATTCCAGCTCTTCTAGAAAATTTTACAAAAGGATATAAAACTCCGCAGAAAACCCAGTCACACAGCCAATGGCAAATATACTAAGTACTGAGCATATTTAAAGTTTTAACACTAAAATTATTCACCTAGCAGTAATTTCTGTCCTGCATAGTACAAAAATCAATTCAACATTTGATGTTATAGTGAGGGAGATCAGATTGCTTATCCTTAGTTTTCTAACACTCTAAAGCAGTAGTGATACCGCTTTAAGAAAACATACTTCAGATTTCTAAGTTACAGGTGAGGAAAAAATGTATAAAAACATAAAAGTGGAAGATTTTTACAAATTTCCTAGGAAAAAGAGAGGACAATATTTTTCTGTGTATTACTTCTCAGCTGAGAAGGTCCATTCTTAAAGGCCAATTCATTTACCAAAAGGCACTTATACCTCAAAAATCATTTGAACTTCAGTAAAATGGGTTTAGCATACATCTATCCATCAGCAATCCACGTACCAGACCCCATTACAACATAATGTGTTTTGAGAGCATGATTTACTGTTTCATAATATATTTTAAAGTGACCTTTCTATATTTTGGTGATAATTTGTGAGTACCATAAAGTCTGCAAGCTGGTGACATATCATTTTGCAATTTTTAATGTTTCAGCAGAAAAGCTAGATAAAATATTTTGAATACTGTATTTCCAGCTCCGCTCTTATCTAATTAAAAAAATAAATTACAAATGTTGGATCCACTAAAAGTAAGTTTAGTTTAAGGTAACTGTGGCTTGAGCTAAAAACTTCATAACATCCACGGTCTTTCTAGAGAATAGAAGTTAATTTGTTGGTTTTTTCTTGTCCCTGTCATTTTTGTTGAGATCAGAAGAGATGGATGTGCCTGTTTTGCTTTCTTGACCTTCTGAATAAACAGATGTGCCAGAAGTCTGAAAAAAGCCAATGGCAGCGCTGCTGTGCACAGCATTATACACATACAAAAGGTAAGAAAAACTTTTTTAACCAAATCAGATTTTTTTTTAATTTTATGCAACTTAAATGCATAGAAAATGAAAAGAGAATGAACTCAATTTTTTTCTCATTTCCATGTCTGGAATTTTCATTTTTATGTTGTCAGCACATTCTGTTTGAAACAAGACAAATACAATGTGATTGTTAAGTAAGTGCACTGTCCAGAGAACCCACTGTGACTGCATAACATTTCTTAGAAAATTTAAAAAAAAAAAAAAAAAGAAAAAATAAGGCCCTGTCTTGAGGTGGCACATGGTGACCTGTGAATTATGCCTGAGACACCTACAGTGCTAATAAATGACTGTCTCAGAGAAGAAATAGGCTTCCTAAATAGAAAGAAGTCTACAAAAAAACCTGGTTTCAATGGCATTAATGTTGCTACAGTACTCTGACAGATTTGGCAAATCTTTTAAAGCACATTAGTAGTGATTGACCCAGAAGCATTCGAGAGGAGAATAAAACAAGGACCATCAGAAACACTTGCATTTCTTTTGACAGCAGAAAATTCTTCTGTGATATGCTATTTGAGACTCCTGTAATGCAAAATTATATCCAATTTGTTTAGAATATAGATATCTGAACAAATAAAAATGTGTAATATCATATTTCCATATCATTTTACAATCAATATGCCACATCTCTAATAGAGAATAAAACAGAATAAATAAACGATCATTAAACCCTAATATTAAAATTTTCACAGCCACATAGCAGTGTCATTCCACACTCTTAATACAGAAGGGTGAGATTCAGATGCTTTAAAGTGCCTTGCCAGAGGCCATCTGATAAAACTGCTCTGGCCAGAAGAATAATTCTAGACAGCTTATAACAGATATATGCTGAACCTGAAACCAAGATGTGAATTTTCAATAATTTGAGAAAATTTTGCGTTATCACTTCTTTCTTAAATGATTTTTGCAAACCAAAGAACCTACAATCACAAATGTGTCTGTACAACACTGTATAATGACTCTCATAATAATAGGTATTTTCTGGATATTTTTTCATTATTAATAATGTTATTAAATGTAATAAAAAGCCAACTGTCAGAACAATTCCTGTATAGGGATAAATAAGCTCATAGCTAAGATTAATGTCACAGGTATTTCACTTCATAATATTTCAGGAATATAATAAATTTAGTCTAGGAATATTGGAGAAATAAATACAAGAGAATAGCAAAATCCCAGAAAGCCTTTGGTGTACAAGTCACGTACATTTTCACAAGACTTCATCAGGATCACTCTTGGTGCTCTTTCATTTCAGTGTTTGGCAATTGATGAATCATTAAGAGTGCATCACTCCTATAGCAGATGGAATTATTACTTTTCAAAACCAATAAAAGAGTGGAATGGAATTTACCACAGAGAAAACTGGTGTGGTTTCATAAATGTTCTACTGCTTTCCTCTTTCTGCTTGCAGCTTCATTTCACTGACAGCAACATTGGTAGAATCTTCCTTGGTGGCACTTGTATCAAAAAGAACCATTTGTTTTGTAAGTGCTAGAAATAAGTCACACAAAAAAGTAATTAAGCATCTTCAAAGAAACACATGCAGTCAATGACCTTAGAGGCCTTTTTGAACCTATGATTCTCCAAATTTGCTGACTGACCATTGATGTTTATTTAAAATATCAATTTCATTTTTCAATATTATAATTTATGCAGCAAGTAATACAGTATTAATAAATATTCGATATTCACAAGGCTATGAATTGAGAAACTGACATATTTTTCTAGAGAAACAGATTTTAATACTTTATAATACAGGCACGGTCAAGAGCTTTCTTATACAGAAGAAACGTAGACTGCATTTTAAAAATATTTTCTAATTTCAGTAAGATATTTTCCATTTAGTCTTCCAGAATTTTTGTTTAAATAAGACAAAACAAACCACTCAAAAAATTTCTGAAGGACTATCTTTACCAAAAGCATGGACTAAAGTCAACAAGTGACACTGAATAGGTGTTCATTGCTGCCATACTCTGTATATACCTTCACAGCAGGTTGCATATATAATGCTTATTTCTAAATACATTATGTTGCATCAAAATCTAGACAATATAAATTGACAAAACATCTTATGCTAACAAAAAAAATCCAGATGTGGCAAAAGGCAGAAATTAAGCAAAGGAAAGCAGATATCAGCTTATACAACAACATACCCTTCTTCTAATGGCCTTCCTTACATCATAAGCATGTAAGAAAAGTGGTACTCCTGATTGTTTGTAATAAATTGTAGAGTGCAATTTTTAATGATCCAGCAAACTGTAGCAGTATATAACCAAAAGTTATTTAAAAGGGAGCAAGACTTCACAGTTTGATTAGAAGGAGTGATATGTTTTCACTTTCAGAAGGAGAATGAAATCACTCTGGTTGGGACATCAGTATAACAGTGAGTTATAAGTTTGCAGCATAAAGTTTTCAGTATTGGTTCAAAACTGTGCTACTGTATGCTATTTCAGTGGTACCTCCTGCAGACAGTATTCAAAGTAAGGTGAAAAACAATAAAGTTCATTGCTAAACTAAATCAATTTGCGTTTTTCTAAGTGATGATGTCAGGTTTCCAATCATTCCAGATTCTTATCCTTAAGCAGCCTTAGAAGGTTTTGTTCTAGAACGGTGTGCCGTGGCATAATGATGTTGCAGTGTCTTTTTACTTTTAATTATGTTACTTATTTATAAATGCCAAAACAAATAGTCTTAAGAACTTATGAAAAAGTATACAAAGAGGGATAAAGAGAGGCATCTGCAATACACTGCAGATTGCTGAGTTAATTGTTATGACAATAAAATCTGCATTCAGGACAACTTATTTTCATTCAACCATGATATCATTCACAGTATATATCATGTTGACACAAGAGTGTTGTCTATCACCAGAGCCTAAAGGTCAGAGAAGACTGCGACCTCAGCTACAGAAGTGGGGAAAACTGGTGGCTATTTTCTTCTCTGTAAAGTCACAGCTTATGATGCCCTGGAACATAAATTCCCAACAGCAACAGAAAGCCTGTAAGACATATACAGTTTCTGGGAAACCATCCAGGTTAAAAACTCGAAGTGATGAAATGTACAAAGAGAAAGGCAGGACTCAATTCACGAAGCTAATGCAAAACATGTGTAACTCTAGGGACTCCTGTAATAAAAATTTCAGGAAAATACAGTGGCCATTAAAAAGAGTTTCTGAGGGTTATTCTTTAGATAACAACTAGTAGTGACTTTTTGAAGCAACCATTTTGGGCTGATAATAATACAGACTGCAAACCATGTCTAATGAATGCTTCCTTGAATAAATTATTTTCTCAGTTAAACTTCTTCCTTTCTAAGAAAATGGGTATAGAAATAAAAGCACATTCCTACAGCATCTTTTGAAATAGTTTGTAATGGAAAAGCTGTTATAGTTGAAGAAATTATACCAGAAACAAAACAGAATGTTAATGTTAATTACTTTTCCTTTTAACTGTTTGCTGCATTGGCAAGGTTTTAGAAAAGATATATATGGAAGGAGATTGTTGTTCCCTTTTTTATTTTCTTATATTATTCGTCCTTTCTTCAATCACTTCTAAGATTCAATCTCAGGATCCCCCTCACAGATAATCAAATTATATCAAACGTGTCTTCTCTCCTTCCTGGTGCTCTCTACAAAGAGACCCATATTGGGAAGAAAGTTTCTAGTACTATTTATTGACTCGATAGTTTGTAAGGTTTCATGAATTTAAAAAAGATGGAATGAGGAAACATAAATCACAAAGGTTTGCAAACAGTTCCAAAAGGTAAATAAAAAAAAAGCCCAGTCCATTCTCTCCTAAGAAGATAGGAGATAATTAATCAGAGAAAATAGATGATGACATCTATAGGTAGTATTATTAAAAGCTACAGGAGATTTGGGAGCAAAGATCTCAAATTATACTTCACTGTCAAAGTCTCAAATTATAACTAATTAATATCATTACTGAAATTAAAAGTTCAAGGTTCACTATCATGACTGAAGTAGCTGACTTTATCATTTGCCACTCACTGGAAAATCCCCTTAGTGTTAATACCACCGCAGAATTTTCACTGTTCTCGGGAACTATAGCAACAAATTCAAAATACACATTTGACTGGTGAAGATCAGGTTCAGCATAAAGTGATAACAGGTCACTAACCAAAGTCTATGGAGTAATCCACATACCTTACTGCCATAACCACTAAGCAGTGAATTGAATCACTACTGTCTTTCATTCATCACTTATTTTTCAGATCCAGGAAGCTTAGTGCTTAGTGCTGATAAAAACAGTTGAATAAGAGAATAAATACACAGAACTGTTTAATCAGATTGGTATTCAGATCACATGGATCCTATTTCTCTTACAACTGCCTAAAATTTATTAAAAAGTTTTAAAGGAACAAAGTTCTAGCAAGTTCCACTCACGTTAAGCAATATAAAGACATTGTAATATTTTAGGAACATTTATGCTGTATTTTTAAATTTCAGTAAGTTTTTGCAGTGGAATCACTGTTGGAATTGTTGAGATTGGAAGTGACTGCTGGAGGTCATCTAGTCCATCATGCCTGCAAGGCATGGGTTACTTCTTTTCTATACCAAAAAGAGGCTGAACTGTACTTTGATTTGCAAGACTTTGACGGGGATGAAGTTTGAGATAAAGGAAAAATCAACTCTTAGTCAGGGTAAAGTGTTCCTGAAATACAGATGGGATGGAGGCATTTGCTCTTATGCTTTATGCCCATTATTGTTATTCAGTATGCTCTGTGAAAAGATACTAACCACAACCCACAGATTGTGAAAGGAAAAGAAACCAATTACCTTTAACCTCATCAGATCAACTCAAGACTTAGTAGTGAGCAGTAATGTACTGCAGCACTCATTCTAAGGTGCAGCAGTTTCAAAGTACAATGAAGCCTGAAATATGACTTACTACATAGAATGCTACTTACTGAATAGGTTGCCAGTACACAAACTGGCTATATTGAAAAGAAATGGAAGGTGATACCCTTCCGAAGAAAAGTATTCTGATACTCGTGTACTGATACGCTCAAAAAAAAACAAACCCTTAAAACCTTTTTTTTGTAAGTTATTTTTGACACTTTGCAAAGATGTGCCTGTACCAGATCAAGACCTACCATGTCCTATCTTTTATTGAGCAAGTTCCTGCTGTATCAGAGATCCTGTGACTTTACATGACCACAAGTTGTATATGCATGAGGGGATAGAAAGAACAGTTAACAAACACTACTGAAGTGGAAACAGTGAATTTAGCTTTTACTGTGAAAATGCTACACAAGCATGAGCCTAACTGGTACCTATGAAAGATCTGGGAAAGAACAGAGTTTAGGATGTCTCTGGTGCCTGAAAAGATACACAGCTTACAGAGGTATGATTCATCACGCAGAGATTCAGAATCCAAGTGCAGCCCTATTCTTTGGTACAAGTTTAAGTGATGAACAGAATACATTGTAGGTCCTAGTTAGAAAACCCCAAACAACTATCAGCAGGACGTAATGAAATACTTCCTAGACGAAAGCATCTATTCAGTATCTAAAGCTAAAACACAGAAGGATGCTTAAGATGGTTCTAGCACTTCTTTTTTGAAAAGTAAAGTGCCTTACTTTTTCAAGTAAAAAAGGTGTTACAAGAGAAGAATACGTTACTTGTAGATTTTTTCTGTGATATAATACTTACAGCCTGAATCTGAGAGCAGTGAGCTGGACAAAAAGTTGTTTTGAGTTTGCCAACTAGAAGAGTGAGGAGCCACTTCTATATCAGAAATCTCAGCATCCATTTTCACATCCTATGGGAGCCAAATAAAAATAATTTTATCTGTTACTATCAAGTAGCTGTAAACTTTAACAAAAAACATAGAGTAACACACATACAGGCATATGCTGTGATTTCACACATGCTGGAAAATACTGATTTGAATTCTCAGAATTCTCAGTATTGCAGTTAGGTTCAAACTAATTTGCATATGAATTTCATTCCCATTTCATCACTATAAACTGTCTGCAAAAAACTGCTTTGCCTTGAGAAAAGCATTAGTGGCATTGCAAGTCTTTGCCACTACAGTAAGTTGTAAAAATGCTCTCTTTTCAGTTCACATCACATCCACAGTTCAGGGCAAATCATAGTGGCAGGGTAGACATCAGTGAATGATGAATACCTAATCAGTTCACTGAAGTTCCACAAGTAAGTAGTAATAAATATTAAATGCATTTCCCCTGCCACTGAGGAAACTCAAACTTCATTGATTTCTCATATAAAAATACCTGAGGGTGCTTTTTAATTTTTTTGTTAAACCATTAAATAAAGTCTAAAGTACAATGCTACTGTTTATGACTAAACCTATACAGCATAGGAAAGTCACTTGGTCTATAAGCTAAGAAGAAAAGATAATTTTAAAAAGGTCATTTAAACAAAATCCCTGAAAAATCTCTCTTAGCTCAGCAGCAAGTAGTCTCCCATTACAATACCATCCAAAATAAGATTAAAAGTTTGGCATGGTATCCAAATTATTCAGTTCCTTGAAATGAGAAGAGGTAATAATGCACAAATGCATCAGTTCATAAAACACTCAATTTTGCTACTGAGTTATTATCATAAACAGGCTCAGTGAATTTTGTTAAAACATTTGCAATTTATCACTCATGCTGATACTAAGTTTTGTAAAATAAATAGAAAACAAAATAAAATTCAACATTAATTTAGAGATACAATGAACTTTTGTTCCATTACTGAAGAAGGATTTACTCCTATTAAGACTAATGGGAATTATACATATTAATCCCCTTATGTGCTGATGAGAGACTTAATACCTAAGGTGTTCATAGCACAATAACAACTTTTAAAGGATACAAAAAACTTTTTGTTGTTCCATTCTGCTTCCAGAAATGCTATCTTAGAACAGAGCTTTTAAACAAGCAAGGTGCTTCTACCAGTATCTGTGCACAAAATGGCTTTATCTTTATAGAAATTTTAACTTAGAGAATGTGTCTTTTCTCATGTGCTTCATGGGCAATTACATCTGCATGCTGTGTTTGACTAGATGGTCAATTATCTCTAGCTGGGAAACTGTCCTAAAATATTTGTATCTCTCCATAATAACATTTATCTTTAGTTTTCCTCTAGCTTCCTGTTTTGATTTAGCTTCTATTGGTACTCATTTGTAGTTATTTTATTTTAATATGTTATTTTTACCTTTTTCTTTTTCCCAATTTCTTCTTTATCTGCTATCACTTGGCCTTTTCTTAGTTGAAAAATCAAGATTGTTATACCTGATGGTATTCTGCCAGCCTCTGGCCTCCTTTTATTACTGGAAATCTTACACTTCAACACATACAAATAGCAATTGTGATTTTTCTGGGCTTCTAAGCAACAGGTATTTTATAGCCATCTGACAAGACTACAGAAGAGCAGGAAGATTGAGTGTGGACAAATGAAATCATAGGAAAGGAAGAAAAATAACTGCCTTCAGGGAAACATTCAACTGTGGTTTAATTTTTCCCCCTTAAAATGAAAAAAGGCTGGGACACAGGATTAGATCATGCCTGTCTAAGATTAATGTTGGCAAGCAAGCTGAAAGAAGTGCATTATAAGAAAGGCTAGAAAGAAGACCATAACACAGGAAAAAGATTAATTCCACAAGTAATTTTATCTAAAATGGTCAGCGTAAAAATTTAACAAGAAACATGCACTATCTTATCCCATACCTAATATCTGTCTACTTTGTTGCACAGAGACACTATGTTGTGTACAGAGCATGAATCAAAAATATCAGAAAGAATGAACTTTGATGCCTTCAAACCTACATTCTTCCAGCAATCAATTTTAGAGACTCCCAATTGACAAATAGTAAAATAAAAAAAATTAAACAACAATGCATTTGAGTTAGTTCCAAAGGAGGGTAAGAAAGGCAAGCATTAAAGAGCTTTTTAGTCTAAGCTAGCCTGATCACTGAAATCAGATTAGCACCCGTCTGTTACTTGGTTTGGAACATTCTGTTCTATTTGTAACAGCCATGACAGCAAAGAGTACTCTATGTCATGTAAAAACCCAATTAGGCCTGACTAAATGGAAGCCATTAAATGCTTTTCGTTGTCTAAAGAAAGAGGAAATATTGTTTTGGAATCAGCTTTATACTGGATTCTGAATATAGAGTTCAAATCACACAAGCTCAGCAAGTTCAGTCAGCTTAGTGCAACAGTATGTTCTACTATCAGCCGATGGCATTCCACTTCGCTTTTCAATGTTTTCTGAATTTCAATGCCTATTGATTTAGTAACTCTTTTGTGGAGGCAAGAGAAGTTCAAGAAACTGAAGATTATCATCAGCAACAGACTGAAAGTGAATGTGCCCTGTTTCTTCAATTCTTTCTTAGAGAAGAGCAAGATGGCTTTTTCAAGTAGCTTAATAGCTTCTTACAACAGCAACTTACTAAGCTAAAATATTCTGTATTTATCTTACCTTTTCCACTTTTACAAAGACATACTGGTAAGTATGTCCTCATTTTACAGAAGGAAGATGGCTACGGATGAGGTGGAGAACATAAACATATTAAAGTTTTGACAGAGTGTGTGTGATCCTAGATTTGAGCTCAACTGCTTAGAGATAGAGGTATGAGTCATTGCCAAAGAATCTGATTTGATTGAAATAAGTAGCAGAAATACTAGTAAGATTCTCTAGTTCTGATTACTTATTTCAATCACATCCATAAGAAATTGTAGTTCTGCTGAAGCAACCTGCTGTCACAATGACATGCAGCAAAGAGCGATATGATAATGAACAAGCTAATAAGATGAGAAAGAAAGTGTGTTAAAAAATGGAAAGGTGAACTCATTACAGGCAATGTTTCTAAACAAGAGCACTGGATTTACATTGCAGGGAGGTAGTTACTCATGTTTAGCTCTGCTATAAGTCCACTAAGTGACCTTTAGCAAATCACTTCCCTACCGTTTGCCTGGATTTCATTTGTATATGAAGAGGCATCATATCTTTATATTGTAAAGAATGTAAAGATCAACTACTGAAAAATTACTATAGGTGACCTACAAATTAATCATCCTTTTCATGGAGGAAAGAGGTTTCTATATCTATTTTTTACTTGAAAGGACAAGAGAAAATTGAACAAAACAATTAAAAAATTGCTATAGACAGAAATTTGATGAAGTAGGTAAACACTGCAGAGTATTAAGACACAGTAAGACACTTTTCTGTGAAATTTGAAAGATTTTTGTGAAGTATCCATGGCACTTTACAATGAAGGCAATATTTCTGTCATCAAATTTCACGCCATGCCAATATAGCTGCCATTCCGTCAGCCGTGGCAGCTATATTAAATAAAACATTTATGTGTGATTTTACTCTGTGTTTGTACTAGGAGTTAATATACATCAAATAAGGTTATGTTGCTGGTTGAAAGCAATTGGGACACAAAAGTGGAGTACACACACATACCTTGACTTGCTGGTCTCCTTGCTTTGAATCTTCCAGCTGTTGCTGTAAAGAACTCACTATCTCTTTATACTTCATATACCTTTCCTCGATCATCTCCCTTCGGCAATGGGACTCCTAGAAATGATTGAAAAATCTAGATGATTTCGCAATGTGAAAATTAGTTAGTGAATGTTGTCTGACTGTTGTAAACACAGGTATTGTCAAGGATTTTCCATACAGCAAGAATGAGTTAAATATTAACTTTCAGAGGCTAAAATACAGGGGCCATATGAAAGCATAATGTTCTGTACAGAAAAATAATGGTAAAATAAAAATAAGTTAAAATGGAAATGGTCTCATCCTTAACTGGTGAATGACTACTTGTAATTCTTTCCAAAACTCAGCAATATCATACCTTTTAACAAAGAAATTCTGTAATGGTGAAAAATTAATTATAGTACTGTAGAAACAAGCACTTGAAGAAAAAAAGGTTCTAAGGATATGGACTAAACAGTATTTTCAATAAGAAAACATAATGCTTCTCACTGAACAAGCTAATGATTTACTTGAATTAAGAGAACTCCAAGATAACCTGTGAGGTTTAGCAAAGATTTACTTTCTCTATCCTTCTCTCTTCCTATGAAAACATTAAGGGAAGAACTGGCTAGAAGTGGAAGACAATGACTGGCTTTGAAACACTTCACTCATGCGTGCCATTTGAGAGTGAAACGTGCTATTGTACAAAAAAATCCAGTGTTATTTTTGAATAGAAACATTAATGAAACTCTAATCTGACATCCTTCTCACAGCAATGTTAAGCAAGAAAGGGCAAGTGTGAAGAAGGGTGTAGATACCCCACATTCAAGCCTTTGCTTTGCCTGCTGAGAGCAGAATTTTTCCTTTAGCAGAAAGAGAAGACAAACACCAACCTCTGTCAGAGCAAAAAAAGCTCTTCTGGAAATATCTGCACATGAAAGTAAAACTATATATCTCAATGATATTTTTTGTAAAAAAACCCAAGCATTTTAACCAGCATTTCCATTCCTAACTCTGTTAATGATGACAGCAATAAAATTATTAGCTGATGACCTCAGGCAAGAACATTTAGAATAAAGAGTGCTCCAAGCAATTATCTTTTGAAATTTTTATTACTACCTCAGGATGAAAAATTCGATATAGAAAATCAAATGCAAATCATTATGCATTTGTTGATCTGTGGTTTACCACTGATTTAAAATTTATATTTTCCAAGGAGGTTCCAAACCAACTTCATATATGGAAAGTAATTATGGCATAGGGGTTTAGCCACTTAGCTACTGAAGATCTAATCTGAGGCTTATCATTCTTGACAGTATGTCACCACTACTGTCAATATGTTTCAGTGTGTCCAAACACACCCTGATTTGATAGTGGAACTAAGAAAATAAATTATAATTATTGTCATTACGTCAAAACAAACAAAAAGCTGTAAAGGTCATCTATCTTTGCTCATTATGTTAAATATTGAAATAATTTATCTAATTACAAAAATTTCATTTTTTAACATGTAATATCAGAATTTACCACTCAACACAAATATTCTGGACCAGTAACGAGCACATGACCCATTATGCCCTGTTATCAACGTTTGCCTACATTTTGGAGAACCTCACTAATGTTACTATTTAGAACTAAATTTATAGCCTCAAATAAACCTGTATAATCATGAAAATTAATTTCTGTATGTTTTTGTCTATATAACATGTGCATATACAATTGTAAATATCTTATTAAACAATTTATCTGTACATTTAGAGAGAAAATTAATTAACTAAAATATTTTACAACTACTGAAAGAGTCAAATAAAGTCCTTCTCACTCTAGTATCTTTCAAATCTTCTAACAGGCTCAGTTTCTCAGGAACAGACTCCAGATGGTCTAAAGCTGCTCGAGTGCTCTAGAGAACAGAACACAAGTTAAAACATAAAAAAATAATCAATTCTTTCCTCCATATCAAACATTAAAGCCCTATTGCAGCTATGGAAACAGGTTTATAGGTACGTATGTGTCTGTAAATTGAACAGGTCAACAGTAAACAGGTTGTTAAGGAAAATAGTCACATTAAAACACATAGCACAGCTTCCTTAATTTGAATCTCCATGATCGGTTACCAGTTTATTGAGTAGAACAATACTTATCTACAATTTTGGAGTTTATGTAGCCTTCAGAATGAAATTTTCTTTTATTGCACTTCAGGGAGTAAAGTACATTTAAAATAGTAAAAACATCCTTCTATTTTTTTTCAAATACAAATATATGCAATGAGCCCTTAGCTAGATACAGAACAATCAAATTTCCTGTTTTTGGTTTAGACATATGGTAGGTACTGCTGAAAAATGAATTATCGCTCTAGGGAAAGTTAGGGTTGGACTCAAGATTTCACATCCACACCCAAAACACAAAAATCTAGTCTATTGCAAGCTGCAAAGAACTGAAGAAAGTAAGTATCATGGTTTTGGTTTTGGACACAGATGAAGTTGGTTGGTCATGCATAAAGAGTAGTCATGCTCCATAGGCCAGATGCCTCTGCAGCTTCTCAAAGGTTGTCCTTCTATTATTTGCTGAAGAGCCAGTAAAACCAGTACTGTTTGCACTTTCTGAACAGTTGGTATTTCCTCCAGAATTCTATAAATCATACCTCTTTGGATAAGGTTCTGCTAACCTGGTATTCAATCTACCAATAATGGGGTTCATTAACCATATTACTGCCTTGGTACTTTAAAGGAAAAATCTATAAAACAAATAAAATTCATCAATCCTGAAGTCAAATATCATTATGGTGTAAAGGCTATGCAAACTGAGTTAATTTGCCCTTAATTACAAAAGCGCTGTTACTAGTCTTGGAAAGTCTCAATCTGACCGACATGAAAAACATTCCATTTAGATCCCATATTTAAGATCTGAAGAGACTAAATATTTCAGTCACAACAGGATAAGAAAAATCAATGGGAACCTCTCAGCCCAAGTGCAATCTACTCAAAAAGATGGAGATGACAAGTGGAGAACTAGAATGGAACAGAGTAACATAAATGCAGACACAATATCAACTTAGAAGCAATGATGTCTGCTTTGTTGTCACTTCCAAACATTCAGTTTTTAAGACTGTAAAAAACATTTTTCCCATAACAAACAAAGGTCAAGTTTCATAAACAATGGGGTTCATTTTTTACAGAGAGAGTAATCAGATACTGGAATGGACTGCCCAGGGAGGTGGTGGATTCACTGTCCCTGGAGGTTTTTAAGATGAGACTGGATGTGGCACTTAGTGCCATGGTCTAGTAACCACGGCGGTGTTGGATCAAGGGTTGGACTCGATTATCTCAGAGGTCTTTTCCAACCCCATTGATTCTATGCTTCTATGATTTGCAGTTCACAGGACTGAAATTGTAACTGATATTCAGTCCCAATAAACTCAACTAGGTAGAGAATGTGAGACTCGTTCTTCTGTAATTACATATATGCAAAAATATTACGTACACAGAAGTATTTCTCTATTTTCTGTAATTAGGAAAAATTTGTACTGACAGATAATATGCTGACAATATTAGGGCATATTTCTATAAAACAACCATATGGTTAAATCAGTTTTCCAAATATTTGGAGGATCTTTTCCTCTGAGACTATTAAGTTTCAAATAATAACTCCCATTTTCTAGGAATAAATTTTGACCCTTAGATTATATGCTTAGATAAAAAAGACTCTCTTATCCCACTGTTACATTCTGCATTAGGAACGCAAAATGCAGGAGAGAAATATTTGGGAATTCCCAAATCTGACCCTTTTATCTCCGGATAATTTCTATACTTCACAGTAGAGTAGATGATGCAGTGCAGAAGAGAAAAAGAATACATTACAGTTAAATGTGCTAGAACAATAACATTATCACAGGTAAAGGGAAAGAATTTTACAAGAGGGTTGGATGAATTGTTGCTTCAAGAACAATAGGAAGAATAAACCACCTACAAAATGGGGTAAAAGGACTGACCCGCAAGCAAGGATATTTTTAGATTTTAAGAAGTACAGGAAGAACTGTCAAAAGTGAAACAGAGTAAAAGAAAGATTTTAGTCATTTAGTGAGAACAGGCAAACAGAAATGAGACAGGGAAAATAAGGTGAGGATTGTTTAGGTAAGAACACAAAACCAGAATGAGTCGTTTTGCTTTTCTTTTATACTAACACATTCATTCAGTTAGATTTTTAAAAATTTACAGAATTATACAAGAAAAACTATATGAAGTTATGCCTGAAAGATAGGTAAGTTATAATAAATAATATAATATGCTTCCTTAAATGGGCAGCATTGAGGATGCACAGTATGAAGAAGTCCCTAATAGCAACATCGAATGCTGCCCATGGCAAATGTTGTAAAACGCCTTAAAGGACAGAAAGGTGCCTACTTGTGTCGACTTGCAGCAAATAAAGTAGAGCAAATCAATTTTGCAAAACTCAAAGTTAGAATTAGTAAAGGTTACTTCTTCCAGCAAGAAAGCATCTGCTGCATGAGAAAGGAAGTTCAGTGAATTTCACACTTAGCTAGCTGTGTTTGGACCAAAACTACCATTTATTATCTTCATAAGAAGTCTTATATTTTAATGTGTAACTTAACTTGTAATAAGATTTTTTTACTTGAAAAATTCACCTAAGATTTTATAAAGAAAAAAGAGAAAAAAATTACTTTTTCTGTAACATGTATGGTTCTTCACCAAAAAATAATTACAGAATCTGCAGTTACATATTAATAAAGAATATATAAAATGGATTCTTCTTCATATTTCTAGACGCAATCAAGCAGGAGGCCTACACATTACATTTGAAGTGGTTTTCACAGATTATAGTGTAGAAATGTTTTTATAGCTATAAAATAGCTTCTTTCTTCTTTTAATTTTTCAAATGCCTCTAAACATCTCCGCTTGAAAGTAAAATTGCCTAGCGGTATCTATCAATCGCTAATGTTTTCCTCTTATAAGAATCAACCATTTCACTTTTACCATGGTGAAGCAGTATTCATTCGTATTTTGTGCTTCTTTTACAGTGGCCATATGTTCATCAAAGCAGAGATTTTACACACCATTAACTTATGATGAGATGCAATGTTTGCTGCTTCTTCCCAAAGTAGCCCCTGGTACTGGTCTGTATGTGGGTTTCTAAGCTGAGACAACAGACCCTAAGGAACACAAACTTAACTATATGTGAAACAAAATACTGAATCCTAATGTTCAGCCATGATCTTAGTATCACACTGATCTGATGGAGACATGTCCACAAAGTTTTTTTACTTTGAACACCAGTAACTCCTCTACCCTGTCAGAAATACAATGCTTCCTCACAGGAAATAACCCCAAAATTGTAACACCCTGCAATCTCTCTTCTTGGTCCAGCACCAAATTAAACTACAAATATTTTAAACTTATGGTATGTATTACCTAACACATTTTGCTAAAGTCTTTTACTTATGAACTGCAGAAAAATGTAAATTTGAGATGTCACATAGTTGAAATAAAGTTTTCTGGGACACAGGACAGACTTAATGGAGTGGCTCCTCATCATTATATACTGTACATTCAATTTATAGCATTTTTTTTCAACTACAAAGATTTTTTCATTTCCCCCCACTATGCCCCATTTTAATAAAGATGACCTGTGATCTATTCTGAGCAAAAAAAGGAACTTAGGCCCTAGGTATAAGCCCATGCCTTAAGCCATCCTATTTTTCAATTCTTTCTCTAAATTCCAATGCCATGACCTCATGTCTGTAAACAAATTTAAGGAAGATGTTAATCATCTGTTCTTCCAAAGTCTCTCTTAAATATATCCCCTTTATTTCATGCACTTGTTGTAAAAGAAAAAATAAATTAACTAAATTTCCACTAGTCCTTATTAGCTACATTATTAAATGTAATCTTGGAAGCAGAAGATCAGCCTTTGCATTATATGCATACTCAGCCCTTGGTTTTTTGGTTTTGTTGAGAATCATGGGGATAAAGGATGACATAGGCTACTTGGATTTCTGAAAGGTGTTTTAGATTCCTAAAATTTAAACCTAACTTCACACTCAAAATGATGGGCTCTAAGCTAACCGTTACTACTCAGGAAGTACACCATGGGGAAATGATACATATTACCAAGAACCTGCTAACTCAGTGCTCAGTATCGATCAGAAAAGCAAAATCAACACTCAATTTAATCAGGAAAGGAAAAAAAAGCTACAGATACTAACTATTACTGAGTATGAATCCACTTGCACCTTGACTATTGAGTGCAGAGATGGACTTTTATCTCAGAAGAGAAACACAGAAAGGTCAGAGAAGTACAATAAGAATGATCAAAGCCATGGAGTACCGTTTCCAAGCAAGAAATTATTAAATACACTTACTCTAAAGAACAGGACTCTTCAGCCAGGAAGCGAGATGCATGAGGGGAATAATAACCAATTTGCACAAAATCACATAAAGAAGTCACATAAAGATGGAAAATTTTATATGGCTTTAAGCAGAAAACTGTGCAATTTAATGAATGAGGAAGACCATGGAGCAGTTCCAAATTCATAGAAATTTCATTTCAGTCTGTATGTCTTTGAGCTTTGAACAGCCGGAATCAGAAGGAATGACTGGGAAACAAAATATATGTCAGTCTTGATCATACAGTCTTCCCTAAGCATTTTATTTTGACTATTGTTGTGATGTCTATAGCTGGGTTAGAGTGACCTTTGCTCTAAACCAGAATGGTTCCTTTTATATTCTAAAATTCTCACAGTCTTCTGAGCAGTTTGTGGAGTGACATGAATTACTCATATGCAAACATTTTCAGGGACAGAAATGTGTGCCTCTCCCATAAAACTGATGAAAAGAAAGGTAGTGATGTGCAAATAAAAACAGAAAACGAAAAAAAGCCAAGTTT